ATCAACGAACTAAACGGGCCCTAATTCTTTTTAGATTATTTTTATAAGTACTCATTAGTCATTATAAAGTGTCCTCTAATTTTTAAAATGATTTAAAACACTTTTTAACATATAAAAAATAAATCAAATTACCCATCCGATTTTGCTTACGTGGCAGGTTATTTAGAGATATTAATTTTTAATTAATTTATAAACATGATTAAATATTAAAAAATAACAAATAAATAAATAAACAAACTGGACTTATTTTTTTGTTAATTATCAGACTTTAAAAAAAGTTAAAAACTAAAATACATCAACTAATCTCAAAAATCAGAAAACCCAAAAAGTAAAAAACAGAGGCCATGTTTGTTTCCCATCTCGTTTTCATTTTTCACGATTTTCGAGAATGAAAAATGAAAATGCGTAAAGAAAACGTGTTTGGCGTCAAATTTTCAAAAAATTAAAAACAAAAACGTTCTTGTCCTTATATGAAAATCTAAAAACGATTTATTTCTGTTTTCATTCTTCCGTTTTCATTTTCTCTCTTCAGCCTTTTCACTCTGCGACCGTGCGACTGCCCACCCCTGTCTCCGACTGTGCACCCTCCCCCCACTCTTCTGTGACTACGTCCCGGCGTTGGAGTGGGCTCGACCGGGCTCGTGCGGCCGAGGGTCAGGATCGCGAAGAGTTGCAACAGTAGGGGCAAGCTCGGTGGTCGTGGATCTGGGTTCCCATGGTAGAGAGACGGGCACAACGGAGCTGCTTCATGATGACAGCGATGAGGCTGGGTTCTGGAGAATTTCGCCGATTTGTGTCTGCCATTTTGGCCTACGCTTGGAGATAAAGTGGAAGAAGTCTGCCGTTTTGGCTTACGCTTGGAGGGTAAAGCGGAAGAAGTCTGCCATTTTGGCCGGGTAAAGTGGAAGAAGTCTGACATAAAGCGGAAGAAGACAAGATTTTATTGGTCGTGTTTAGAATTTTTTTTAAAAAGAAACGTTTTTAAACGTAATAAAAATAAATAAAAAATAAAATATTTTTTTAATTTATTATAAAATAAGAAATAAATAAAAAATATTATTTATTTATTTATTTATTTTTATTTTCGTTTTCTCCTCTTTCAATTAAAAAGAAAGACATTAATATAATTTTTTTATACTGAAAATAATCTCTTGATAAAACTATTAAATACATGTTCAAAAATGATTTTTGTCCGAGATTGAAAACGTTTTCATTTTCATTTTCATATAAAAAATAAAATCATTTTAGAACGAGTTCCAAACGCGCCCATTAATTTTTACTTTTAGTTTTTTTTAAGTGAAGTTTTTTTTATTTAATGTTTTTATAAATTAATTAGAATTAATATTTCTAACTATATCTAAATAACCTCTCACAGCAACAAAACAGTTAAGTTTATATACGGAAGCAGACGTAAGGGGTAATTTAACATGTTTTATGTACATCATATGTGTTTTGAATCGTTTAAAAAAATCATACAGTGTTTTGGAATAAGGTACATATTTCAGGAGCACTTATAAAAATAATCCTTCTTTTTATTTAATGGGAAGTACTTTCAATTGAGTATTTATATTTGTACCACAAATATTCACAGATGTTCCCACTAATTAATGCTCATTTAATAACAATTTAAACAATCTATTCTTTTATAGAAATTTTTTTTATAATATCTAATGTAACATTTTCTTTTATTTATAAAATAATATAATTCTTTTCAACTACTAATGTTATATTTTCTTTTTTAAAATTAATATAATTCTCTTTACATTTATTTATCAATTATCTTCATTTTACTCTCTCTTTCTCCTCCTCCTTCTTTTTCTTTCTTTTTTTTAATGATGTCCATCCAATAAAAACAAAACCTCCATGATACAAAAACAACTTAGAAGCAATTTCAAAAAAAAAAAAAAAAAAAAAAACCATACACACAATAATGTTAATGCATATAAGGCTCAATAGCTACCGTATATTCACAAAATAAGATAGATGCTCATAAAGTATTAGATATACCCCCTATAAACCCCTTCCCCCCCCCCCACACACATCAAAATTAAAAGTCCCCCCAAGGGCTATCAAAATTAAAAGTTTATTTCATGGTAATATTGTAACACCCGCCTTATTAGATAACATATAGATGTATAAGAATTCACATGTAAGTGGACATGTGTCGAGATAAGGAAAGAAAAAAAGTTCAAATTTTATTCTAAGTGGACACGTGTCAAGATAAGAAAAGAAGAAAAGTTCAAATTTTCTTCTAAGTAGACACTTGTCGAGATAAAGAAAGAAGAAAAGTTCAAATTGTCTTTTGAAAGACACTTGTCAAGTAGATGGACACTTAGAATTTGATCAATGGCTAAGATTTAGCCAAACACTTGTGATCTAAAGGTAGATATTAGATATGGAATCAATGGCTAGGATCTATCCACATAAGCTTTGATCCAAAGGCAAGAATGTAAGATGACATACTATAAATAGGTGATGGATATATTCCATCCTTCATATGGAGGAAGCTAGAGAGAGAGTTGGCGAGATAGAGAGAAAGAGAAAATAGAAAGATAGAAAGAAAGAGAGAAAATCGAGAGAAGGATTTTCCTCTCCACCAGTAAATTTATAAGTAGATTTTCTATTACATCACTTGAACAATAATACATGAAAGTTTTCAATTTATGAAAATTGTCAATTTATATATACTTGACATGTTTTCATGAGATTTAGAAAGTGTTTTAGTTTTTATAATGTGATATGAATCTTGTGTTGATTACGAACCGACTCAGTTAGTAAAAAGGACAAATCCTTGAGGAACAAGAGATTCCGAGACATGGGCCGCCAGATAGAAGATAAAGGGGTTCTAATAACACAAGATGAATGTCAGACAGAAGGACCTTAAAAGTTTAAAGAAAAGTATTTTTAAATTGGAAATTATTTTACGGTTTACTTACTAAGCTTTAGCTTATATAGTTCTTGTGATGCAAGTAAGCTCTTAGTAGAAGTTTCAGTTGGTTCAAGTCCCATGACGAGTTTAAGTTAAGTGATCTTAAGTTATGTAATATTTAAATTTAATAATTTGTTCGAGGATTGTACTTGATACAGACATTATTTCTCTATTTAAGCAGTAACCTAGCAAAGTAAGTTACCATTTCTTCGAGTTGGCGTAGTTCTTAGTTGCTGGCTCGAGAGGGGCGTTACAAATATCACTTCCTACCAACTCATAAAACACTTTGATACGAGCTAAATAAGAATTTACCCATCCAGATGCACAAGGATGCTAACAGACTATATAATTGGGTCTGCTTGTTTTTGTTTTCGTTTTCATTTTTCACGTTTTTCGAAGCTAAAAAATGAAAACACAATCTAAAAATGCGTTTGGCACAAAACTTTTCAGAAAACAAAAACAAAAACATTTTTGTCTTTTTGTGAAAAATTGAAAATGAAAAAAAGTCGTTTTCTCGTTTTCGTTTTCTTCTTCTGAAAACGGTTTTCATTTTTTTTTTCTTTTCTCTTCTCCACTGCCCACCACCCCCGACAGCACCCCCCCCCCCCCTCCGACACCAACACCGATTGAAGGAGATGAAGGACGCCGGAGATGAAGGACGACAGAGAGAGACGTCGCCGGAGATTCCCTTGCTCGATGGCTATCGTCAGTCGTCGGACGCGTCGTTTCTCGTCGTCTCCGGGGCCGACGGCCCCATGCCGCAGACGAAGGCGCCCCCCCCGGATTCTTCCCGTTATGTATATATAATGATGTTTATTTAATATATTTAATAATATTAGTTATTTAATATATTATTACATGTTTTCAAAAATTAAACCGCCAAACGCAGTTTCAGTTTTTTTAAAACTGAAATCAATATCTGAATAAAACTACCAAACGCATTTCAGAAATAATTCCAAAATGAAAACGTTTTCATTTCTATTTTCATACAGAAAATAAAATCATTTTGGAACCAATTCCAAACGCACTCAATACTTGCAGTTCTTTATTTCTTATTTTTAAATTAATTATGATTTGTGATTCAGTATAAAACAAATGTATGGGTATGTTTCTTTATTACTTTGAAAAACACTTTCCTATATTATAGTTAATTCATGTGTATATTTCATTTTAAAAATATTTATTTCTATAAATTATAAGTAATGTGAAGGTATTTTAATGGGTTTTAGTGTAGTTTTATTATAGGATAAAATTGTAAATTATAAATTGGTGAGGGGTATTAATGAATTTGGTAGGTGCAAATATAATTACTCTTTTTAATTTTATGTCATTAAAACGGAAAAATATAAGCTTCTATAGGGGAAAAAATATGTAGTTAGTTTATAGGGGTTTTCCCACGGTGAGACTCCCTAAAATAACTCACCGATAGAACATCTTGCTTTGACCATTTGATTACTTTTTCAATAGTCAGATTTGCAGAGGGAGTAGTTTTGTTCAACGCACTGTACATTTTTAATACGGGCTTATGCAGATCTGATTGTCGAAAACTTAATTTCACGGTCAAAACATGGTATTTTACTTGGTGATTTTTTAAGGAGTCTCACCATAAAAATTACATATATTATAATTATTAGCAAAGATTATTAACATATAGGTTATTTTAGAAGTATTATCAGAGAGTTTCACACTTGAAACATTTTATGTTTAAGTAGTTTATAAACTTTATATTTTTGTCAACATTTTTTTATCAATTTGTTTATTAATTTTATGTTTTTAGTAGGTCTTTTACGGAGGTTTTTTTATATTTTTGTGCATTGTAAATTTAAATCAAGCTAATTGACAGAATTAAGATTGAGCAATAAAAATTGAAGAGTATTATGGTTTGAGGACATAATAAATATATTTTAAAATTTAATGAGTACATTGATATAAATGATAAAGTTTGAAGAGTTTATAAATATTTGTGTTAAAAAATTTAATAGAATAAAAATAATTAAAGACATATTATAATTTGAAAGTATATATATTTTAAAGTTTAAAGGCATGTTCGTAAAGTTGTGGGAATATAAAATCTGTCCAAATAAAAATTTTGTTGCATAAACCCCATACCCTCTTTCCCCCATTCCCTATCTTAGTGCGCCGTTCTCTGCTCTCTTATCTCTGAAAAAGAAAATCTCGATCTTCGAAGTCTCCGGCGTTGTCTATTTTTCTCTGATTAAGCTCTCTCTCTCTCTCTCTCTCTCTCTCTCTCTATATATATATATATATATAGATATATACACACACACATGTATGTATGTATGTATATATATACTGATTTTTCGAACTGAATGCGATTCTGCAATCTGGTTGATTTTTTATGGTTGCTCTCGTTGCTTGTTTGTTCCGTGAAAATTTGTTCTGGTTGTTTTGTGATATATGAATTTATATGATGCTTTGTTAGATTATTGGTTTTTTTTTTTTCTTTTTTTTAATAAAAAAGTCTACTCGCTTGTTTTCCCATATGTTAACTTCTCTATTTTTCATGTTTTACCTTTTATTGGACTGAATTGACTTATTAATTTCTTGTTTTGTGTTTCAAACTGTAAGATTAACTCTTTTTTTCAACATGCAAGTTGAAACCTTTGGGATGATGCTTTTAAGACATAGAAAATATGAACCTTTCGGTAGATTTGATATGTACTTATATATATGTATATATATGTATATATATACATATATTATAATATATGCGTATATATATATATGTATGTATATATAATCCATGATATGGTGGCTTTTTGGATGGAGCCTCGAGTGAAGAGCAGAGAGCCATGAGCTTGCTTCTTCTCATAGTGTTCCAGATATCAATGGCCTTCTTGTTGCTGAATGGATATTTTTGTTTCCATTTCTGTGAATTTGAAGGAGGCAAACAAATTGTTGCTTGTTCTCGTATTAATCTTTTAATTTTCTAATTTAACCTGTTTGTCACCACTTTCCATCGTGTTACCGGTCTTAAATCTTTTGAGATTCAGGTTGGAAATGTCTTTGGTTTAGATCTAAACTAGCAGCAAAAAGAAAAGGGAAATTACCAATTTGCTATTTAAAAAAAAAAAAAAACTTTTCAAGGGGTTGGGAATTTTGTCCAGATAATATACCTGAGTTTCCACTTTGATTTTATGGCATGTTTGGGACATATATTCAAACCCAAATTTGGGTTCTGCTACAGTGTTTTTTATCTCACAAAAAATTTGAATTTTAAAATTTCATCTTTTACAAAGTTCCCGCGAATGACTTGAATATATGTTCCAAACGGTAATCTGTTGCTGATACCCATATGAGTTATATATAAATATGCATATACTTTGACAAGATATAATAATTTGAATTTGCATTATCCCAATATTTGTTGGTAATAACGTATTGATCATTTGCTGTACGAATTCAGGTGCAAAAATGTCATTGTCAACCATTTCAACTGCCAAAGTTCCCTTTCGTTGCATGTTCCAATCCTCGCGACAGAAACCACTCGCCAGCGCCATTGTCAAATGCCCGTCTGCTCTTGGATCAGCGAGGAAAATCTCCGAGGTATTTGGCCTTAAGGCAGCCCAATCTTTCAAAGCATCAATGGCTACGTACAAGGTTAAGCTGATTTGCGAAGATGGGTTGGAGCACGAGTTTGAGGCTCCAGACGATTGTTACATCCTAGATTCTGCGGAGACTGCGGGAGTCGAGCTGCCTTACTCTTGCAGGGCCGGGGCTTGCTCCACCTGCGCCGGGAAGATGGTATCAGGCAGCGTCGATCTGTCCAATGCCTCTTTCCTCGATGATAAGCAGATGAATGAAGGCTACTTGCTCACTTGCGTCTCCTACCCGACTTCGGACTGCGTCATTCATACTCACAAAGAAACTGAGCTTTACTAACCGTTTCAAAGCTCTTTGCTACAGTGTTTTCGCTCTCTCACAAAAAAATGTAATTTGCCGGTTGGAATTGGCTAGTGCCTTGAGAATTGATCTGCCCATCTTGGACTTTTTGGCATGGTATGGTATGTCACTTTCTAAGGATGTTTATTTTGGAATGCCATCTAAGTTGAATTCTATGAATATGTTATTCTGCTATGCCTTCTTGGTTTTTAAAATTTCCGTCCTTATAACGGTTTGCATTGAATAATTTGTCCAAATAATTACTCGAGTTTTCAAGACTCAAGCTTGTAGTTGTGGTTTCTCAAGGTCACCTTCATGGTGAATAATCACGAGTTTCATGTTTTACAGACTTACAGTGAATAATCTTGTGTTTCAGGGGGTTTCGCCTTAAGCCTCTAGTTTCAAACTCAAGATTGCTAAGCGAGATTGGTGGATTTGGGATTTTTTTTCTAATGTTTTTTTTTTTGTTTTTGTTTTGTAACAAATGTTTTAGTATATTCAATATAATATGTAAACATGTTTTAATATTCTCAGATTGTGTGTTATATGATGTTTTCTCCACACGGGTATAGTAAATTACTCTCTAATCTTTTAATTTTGACAATCAATCTCTTGAATTTGTAAAATTATTACAATGTGTCTCATTTTATTATATTTGCTCAAATTTTTTTATTTTTAAGAGATTAAAAGTTGAGGAATTTAAAGATTTGTGTTGTATTTAAATTGGGGTGTTAAAAATTTTTGTCAAACGTGTTTTTTTGACATTTATTTAATACAATCATCATCAAATGGGGCATATTGTAATAATTTTATAAGTTGAAGAAGTAATTTGTTAAAATTAAAAGTTTATAACGTAAATTGTTAATGTGATACAAGTTTAGGGAGAAACGTGTAAAATACCCTTATTTTATATGAGGTACTCAACATAAGTCGTACAAGTCATATTTTATATTGTTGCTCGTAATGCCTGCGACCGAGACAAGTAATAGAAGCAAGCAGTTAAGTAGGTTTGATTTTGGTTCAGCTTATAGTAGCTCTTTACTACAAGAACCTTCTCACTAAATAGTGAACTGGAGCGATCAACAACATATATAAATAAACAATGTTTTTCAAGAAGGAAATAAATAAATGAGGTTGAAAAGTGTATTTTAACCACATATATTGGTTTCAATGGTAGACGTCTGTAATTTATCGGCTATTATTTGCATTCTAATTTGGTCCCTCAAACTTTATACCTTCATGAATAAACTTGTAGAGACCAAAAACTAATCTAGCCATCTCTGTCCTTGTAATATAGTCAATTTATATTCAAGTTTTATTCAAGCTTATAAAGATGACTGAACATCTTGGGTTCGAATTTTCAGAAAGTATTTTAGTAGAATATTAAAATCAACGGGGATAGGGAGAAACTAAAATGACATAAATATTAAGCGATTGAATTTTGGTGGCATATACTGCCTAGGAAAAGCACCTACAAATGAATTTGGCGGGAGGGAGAGATGGAGGGAGAAAGAGGGGTAGAGGGAGATAGATGGAAGAGAGTGCAATTCCAATATTTGGTTGGATGGATAAGAGGAGAGAAAGAAGAGATGGAAGGAGAGGTTCTTCTTTTGGGTCTACTAATTTGGATCATTCCCTTAACGAAACGACTCATTAAATCCATCAAATTTCAAATTAAAAGTATATTTTACATTCTAAAAGAAATTATTATTAAATAATAAAACAGACAACATAGTAATTGAACAAACGTCCATTTCAACTCTCACTCCCTTATACCAAACAACATTAAAAATTATTATAATCCTCTACATCCTTCATATTCATCATCCTTTCAACTATCTTCATCATTCCTACCCCATCCCTCCTAAAGCATATAAAGCCCATGACCCTTATCTATTGACCGCAGTCTGGCCCAATTCCATCATTATTAAAAGGGTAATCTTGATAAATATTTATTGAAAGTGCATGAGTTATGATTTTTACAATTTACTCTTGATTTATAATATGTTTAGTCAAATAATTACACTAACATAGGGGTATTTATCAAGAGTAAGGAGTAACTGTCCAGACTCATGCACTTTTAAGGATAAATTCTCTATTTTTTCTTATCAAAATAGGAAAATCACAGATTCTACCTCTTTAAGAATTGACTTACTAAAAGTACCACATTTAAAAAGACTCTATCTCTTGACTAGTTATATAAAAGGTAGAAATATATAGGCTAATATTAAGGGGTAGAAATAAAAAGGAGCTCTATTTTAAGGGGTATTATTTTTAAATATTACCCTATCAAAATCCGAAACTCCAACGGAACATTGAAAAATAAGGGCTGACAATTAGAAGTTTGCACTTCAATATAATAAATTCATTGGGCGTTTGGTTTAGGACACCTAAGTTGATCCCCTGCAACATTCTAAGTTTTTAGGCAACAATACGTCAGAAAGACCCAATTTCTAGTCCATTCTCTTTTAAACTGAAATATATGATATCATTGCTTATAGCATAAGGAAAATCCCAAAATTTCATTACACGTTGAGAATATTGAACCATTGTTGATGAACTACCCACATGGAAATCCTTCAACAACTATGAGATTCTTTTTTTTCATTTTTTTGCCATTTTCAAATCGGGTCAAACCAAATGCAACTGAATATAAACATGGTTACAAGTTTCACCAAAACGTACTCTTTTGTTCTCTAGTTAAGACTTACTAGAACAAGTAATTATGTACTTATATGCAAACCCACAGGGCTAATTTTCAAGCTGTGGTCTTCTAGTACTTTATTTTCTCTCTATTCGTTGCTAAAAAATTATGGGAACCAAGTCTTTTATTTTTGTGGCTTGTGTTCTTTTGCTCATTAGCTTGACCCTTTCGGCACAAGCTGCTGATGAGAAAGGACTAGGAGCTTCATTTATTTTTGGAGATTCTCTAGTTGATGCCGGAAATAATAACTATTTGCCAACTTTGTCCAAGGCAAATATACCTCCTAATGGGATTGATTTCAAAGCCTCTAGAGGAAATCCCACTGGACGATATACAAATGGAAGAACCATTGGTGACATAGTTGGTAAGTTGTGTTAAACAATGTTTTTTTCTCATTTAATCTTGTTCATCATGATCTTTGTTTCTTTCCAATTAACTTTGGATAATTCTCTCGCAGAGTGTATGGAAAATGCCCTATCGATATAAGACATCTTTTAATCATTAGATCTTAATCAAGTTTCATAAAATTATTGTACTTCTTAATCGGAAACCTATCAATATGGTGCTGCTTGCTTTAAACCGTCAAATTTGTATTAAATTTTATCAAATATACATGTTTTTTCATTTTTATTTAATTTAATCAAATCATGTGTTCAGACATATGCACCATAGAAAAGTACATCCTATTCTAAAAGCTCCATTTTTATTTATATAAAAAAAAAGCTTCATTCTTTTATAATATTATATATAATTGTTACAGCGAGTATCTGATAGGTATGATCTATAGAATCCTCTTTTAAGTTGACCCCAAAATAAACACTCTTAACTTGCAACTTTTTTATTTTAGGAGAAGAATTGGGGCAAACACACTATGCTGTCCCATTTCTGGCACCAAACTCAACAGGAAAAGCAATATTGTATGGAGTGAATTATGCATCAGGTGGTGGAGGGATATTGAATGCCACAGGAAGAATTTTTGTGAGTACCCAAAAAAAAAATGTTCTTCGAAGAATTCTTTATCATTTTATTTTAATGTGAACCAAAGATTAATTTGTGATGAATTTTGCAGGTTAATAGGCTAGGAATGGATATTCAGATTGATTATTTCAACATTACAAGGAAACAGTTTGATAAACTATTGGGTCCATCAAAGGCTAAAGAGTACATCATGAAGAAATCCATTTTCTCTGTCACGGTTGGATCAAATGATTTCTTGAACAATTATTTACTCCCAGTCCTCTCAATTGGAGCAAGAATTTCACAGAGCCCAGATGCTTTTGTTGACGATATGATCAAACACTTGAGAGAACAACTTACTGTATGTACTCGAAACACATTATCTTTTTAAAACTAACCTTATTAGTACGATGTGTCAGCTCACATGAGAATCATATTAGACTAACAAAAAGTATGACGATTAACAAAACCTAATGGAAATTTAACAAGTCAGAACTATATCCAATCGGTAAAATATTTTTTCATACCCTACTACGACGAAGTTCTCTCCGTTTTCTTTCATGGTTTTTGTTAACAATGACTTTGTGGTGTGATTGGTGAGTACAGAGACTTTACCAACTGGATGCTCGGAAGTTTGTGATCAGTAACGTTGGGCCAATAGGTTGCATACCTTACCAAAAGACCATAAATCAAATAACTAAAGATCAGTGTGTGGACTTGCCTAATAAGTTGGCCGTTCAGTACAATGGGAGGCTAAAAGATTTGCTTGCTGAACTGAATGATAACCTCCCAGGATCTACATTTCTTTATGCAAATGTGTATGATCTAGTTTCGGATCTCATCACAAACTATGAAAAATATGGTAAGCACGTAATACAGAAATGTCACTCGAAAGATGTCATCTTTACATTTATATCACTTAATAACATAAAGTTAAGATTTATTCCACTCAATTACAAGAGAATATCCTCGCACAAGATCAATTTAGTTTGTGCAATTAAAAATCATTGAAATGTACTTGGTGAAACAACACTAGCCCAAATACTCTCTCTCTCTCTCGAAAGGGTACTAAAATTATGAGTGGTGGATTTTGATTGTTCATGAATTGGTAGTCTGGTACATAACTGGGATGAACATGTTTTATGCAGGTTTTTCAACAGCTAGTAAAGCTTGCTGCGGAAATGGCGGCCAATTCGCGGGGATAATTCCATGCGGACCGACTTCGAGTATGTGTTCGGAACGATCCTCGCATGTTTTCTGGGATCCCTACCATCCCAGCGAGGCTGCTAACCTTGTACTTGGCAAGAAGTTAATTGATGGCGACCAAAGATACATTTCTCCAATGAACCTCAGACAACTTCGTGATCTCTAGTTTTATTATTCTTATGGCATTTTGTATTACAACAAATAATCAATTGCTTGTTCAGTCATATGATATTGTTATTCTCACATCAAAATTTGTTCCTTTTCCTTTTCTTCCTTTTTTTTTTTATTTTATATTTTTTAGCTGAAAGAATGTTCCTTTTTTGTTCTTCATTTTTCATGTTTACTTACAATGCGTTGTAAAACTATTCACATTCTTAGTGGAAGTTGTGGAGGTCCTTTTCCCCAGTATTTGTGGATACGTTGTTGTGACTTGTGGGGGTCTTAACTACAGTCCACAGTTATTTTTATAGGCCAAAACTACAAGTCTACAATTCGGTTGGAACTTGAAAAGGTAGTTGAACAACTGATCTCTAAGGCAATAAGTTTAACTGATGAGCAATATCTTCCAACCAAAATTCTTGGCGTACAAGACTTCTCTTTTTTGTTCATGAATAGAAAGTTTCAAAGCTAAAAGTCTCCGACACTAATATTGAAAGGGAGAAAACCAAAATACCGTTCAATATGATAAAAAATATTACTTATGTTATTTTATTTAAAAATAAATAATTATCATTTATTTAATAAAAAAAAAAAAGATACTATATCATCCGATTATTTTGAATGATATAAATAACAGGCTTGTATAAAATTATGATAAGCTATATACTTTTCTTAATTTTTTTTTCCCAAAGTTGAATAAAAAATTGAAATTCAAGAATCTAGAACAGAACAAAAGGGCTATGGAGCTTATGCCGTTTTGTCTTCCAACTGGGAAAACAAAACATGTTTGTCGTGTTTAGAATTTTTTTTTTTTTGTTTTTCAGGTTTTTTTAAAAAAAAAATAAAAATGATTTTAAAACGACGTTTAGCACAATCAAAAATAAAAAACGAAAATGAAAACGATTTTTTGATTTAGTGTAAAATGAGAGAGAAATGAAAAATAACTTTTAGTTATTTTTTATTTTTTATTTTCGTTTTCTTCTCTCTCGAACAGAGAGAGACATTAATGAGTTTTTTTATATTGAAAATAATCTCTTGATAAAACTACCAAACATATTTTTAAAAATGATTTCTGTATAAAATTAAAAACGTTTTCATTTGCATTTGCATACAAAAAATAAAATATCATTTTAGAACGAGTTTTAAACGCGCTGATTATGTTATGTCAAATGCAGTCCAAACATATTCTTTTGTTTTCCTTTTATATGTTGATATTTTGCATGTGCCAAGTCATTTTCCAACGTGAAAATGCCCAAAAATGGCCAAACCCATTCCCATATAATAGACGGATTTCTTAAGAGAGTTCACAAGCTAGTGAAGATTCAATTGTTTTTTGCGAAATAGTAAAAAATAGGTCAATATGAAAAGCTTAAGAAAGTATATAGGCCAATTTTTAGTTATAGAAATTAATAGGCCATAATTTGTCAAGTTATGGTTCATAATCAGATAAGTTATGGATAAACTTGTCAAGTTATGGTTCATAACCAGACAAGTTATGGATAAAAACCGTGAATAACTTGTCAAGCTATGGTTCATAACCAGACAAGTTATAGACGAAAACAGTAATTTAGCCTATTTATTAACTTATGTAAACTATTGGCCTATTAATTTTAATTTATCTCAAATCTTAACCTATTTTTCTCTTTCTCCTTTATTTTTTTAATAATTTCCAAGCCCAACAAGCAAACCAAGCATAAACTTTTGAGATTCACTTGAAAAAATCTTGCTAAAAATATGAAAAGCAAATCAGAACATGCTCCACTAAAACTATAATTAATAACAACCAAATTGCTCAAGTAAACATTCGTGTCATAATTCAGATTATAATTCGTTACAATATTTTTTCTCATAAAAAATACACATAAATTAAAAATAATTTTAAATTATAATTCTATAAGCAAACGTCCACTAACATTCATTTTAATCCATATAGATACATTAGAATTGGATAATGAAAAACATGTACCCAAAATTTCCTTTATATAAAAAAGATAAAAAAAAAAAAAAAAAAAAAAAAAAAAAAAAAAAAAAAAAAAACATGTGTATCCAAAAGAAAAAATCCCAACAAAATTCATGTGAAGTGAAGGGAATCATGGGAAGGCAGAAAAAGCCAAAGGGGTAGAGAGAGAGTTTTGAAAATGGTACTAAGGTAAGTAGGGGAAAAAAGGACTGATTGTCAGTGATTATGGGCGACCGAATGAGCAGTACCAGTACGAGACCGACTGAGTTGTGAAGTACCTACTGACCCCAGGAATAGGATAGCTATTCGATTCTTTATTTATTTATTTTGGAATAAAATATTTATATCAAATTCAATAAAAACAATAATAACACTTTACCAATATTTTATAATAATTGTATGATTTTTCATTGAAGATACAGGAATTATTTAGTTTAAAGATTCGTATTTTAATTTAAATCATGATTTATAATTTATTATAATATTTTTTTTATAAAAAATATATATAAATTAAAAATAATTTTATTTATTCTTATGTTGATATCGGAAAAGAGTCATATTTTTTTTTTCCTCTTCTCTGTTGAATAAATTTGAGGCTTTGTTTGATGGAAAGCGACGTATGATTCAGTTTGCCGGAGGCATATGGATGTCCACTCAGCCCGCGCGTGCCTCTGATCTGCAGCCCCTTCCTCACCGACAGCAGCCCCTCTCCCTCGCTGACATTTTCTCACTGTTTTTGACCAACTTATGTTTCTATCAATTCACATATGACATATATACTTGACCACTTTTATTTTATTTTATTATTTTTTGTTAAGGAGATTACAGCCCTGTTCACTTCATTAATTCGAGTTTAGAATTCGAATTTTGCTACAGTAAAAAACTCTCATAAACAATCACATCTAACTTTTTTACTATAATAAAAAGCTCTCATATAAAATTACATCTCAACTCGAATTACAAACTCGAATCAGCGAAGTGAACGGGCCCTACATGACCACCCGATTGATAAATGATATTGCTCGTTATAATTTCTTTTTTCTTTTTTTTAAAGGGGGGAGAATTATAATTATAATAATTGCATCGGGATTGGTTCACTTAAATATTAAACAGACGTTTAGTTTAGATATTCAAAATTATTTTTAGTTATAATATTTAGTTTGAATTATGGTGATTTAATTGTGATTTAAATTGGTGTTTAGATACACAAATAAATTATACTTTGAATTGAGGAGAAAATTTAAACTGTGTTTGGATAAATGGTTAAAAATGTCAATAGAATTTTGTAACAAATCTTATAAAATCTCATTATAAATGACATTAAAAATATGCAATATGGATGGAGATTTGTTATTCTCTTCATTGAGAACACATTAAAAAAAAATTATTTCAATCAGAATTGAAACAAAAAAGTTATAATTTTTTTAAGCTTAAAATTGAGGAGAAAAAAAAGTAAAATCCGAATTATTTTCACTGTAAAAAACAATTCAAATTGTGAATTTAGGTGGAAGGTCAATTCTTAAATCAATAATTTCAACCATTGTAAATGGTTTAAACCCGTTTTTTTAACAAAACAAAAAACACATAACCCGTTCTTTTCATATGATGAACCATAATTCAAATGTTTTTGTATTTGCTTCAAATGATGGATACATATGGGTGAATATATTATTACATTGGTTTGGAATTTTGTTGAAATTTTATTGAAAAATTGGAGTTTAGCGGCTGAAATTTCCTTACTAAGGACTAACTAGTAGGTGTCTGCTTAGAATTCTCAATTTACTTTAATATCCAGAAAATAGTCTCATTTTTTGTTGTTGTACCTTTTCAAACCCAAATCTCACTTCAGCTTTGACTTAATAGTTTTTTGTTGATTTTTTATTTTTATTTTTTAAATAAGGCTTGGAGTGTTGCTATACATTAGGAGTTTATCAAAAATCCCATAAAAAAATTCAAGGCTGAATAGATTTTTTTTAAATTTTTTATTATGATTATATGAGGTAGTCGTACAGCTACTTTCACGTGATTGATAGAAAATCTTCATATTTGATTCATAAAATTGGCAATTTATTAGAGCTCGTGATTTTGCTTGATTGTTAACCCTAACAAAGCTACCTGATTGGGATTGAAAAAAGGTTCTTTAGAAAGTGAGTGTCGTTCTCTTGTTGCTACCTGAAAATGGGAAAAAAAAAAAAAAAAACAAACCTTTTATAAAGGTAGAATTGAGCCCCCACTTCTAAATATTTCTAAATGTTATCCAAAAAAAGACCAGCTTACCTTCAAGTGAAAAAAAAAAATAAAAAAAAATAAAAGGAAGACTAGCTCAAACTAATGATTTTTTGTCCACACAAATCAATGAACTCAAATTATTAAAGCCACTGTCATCCATCGGCAATATTAATGAGAAAAAAAGTAATAATAATTAATAAAAATAAATAGACATTTTAAACAACCTAGGCCACAAAATTTGTCGTTTTCCCAATTGTGTGCATAATTGAGGGGGTAATAACGAAGAAAAAAAAAGGTTGGGTTGATAGAAGGCCAATCAAAGACAATCAATCAATCAACATAGTTGATTTAGCAAAAAATAAAAATAAAAAAAATCAACATCTTGGAATGAATGATCTATCCTAATGCATCAACGTCGTTAGGTGGTGATGAATGATAATGAGTCCGTTCATTTCGTTGATTTGAGTTTGTAATTCGAGTTGAGATGTGATTTTATGTGAGAACTTTTTACTGTAACAAAAAAGTTAGATGTGATTATTTATGAGAATTTTTTACTGTAACAAAACTCAAATTCTAAACTTAAATTGATAAAATGAACGGAGCCAATATTTGTTCCTTCTTTTTTAAGGCCGGTGTCCGGGGGAAGAAGATCGGACGGTGAGGATGGGGAGCAAAAAGAGTGTTTTTGTGTGGGGCCGAGAGTAGAGGATAAATGTGTTCGTGGTTAATGGATTAGAAGGAAACAGTAAGCCGATAATTCCGGTGAGAGATGGATGGGAAGTACGGAGGGGGGAGAGAATCTGATGCGGACATGACGCGTCCGAAATCAGAGGAGAGACCCAATAATTGCTCCCCACGCTGCCCGACACTCATGATTCTGTCGGTATTGTCCCACCCACCCCTCCCACCCCCTTCCCACACTCTCTCACTTCCATCAGTCACTTTCAATCGCTTCTTCTTCTCCCCCCTTTCTTTGACGCCATTGTTTTTTTTGCCCGCTTTGCTCCTTCAATTTTTTTTTCTTCTTAGCTTTCTTTCTCTCTCTCTCTCTTTTTTTTTTTTTTTTTTTTTTTTTTTTTTCGTGTTGTCTTTCAATTCCAACTATAAGTAAGTAGTGACTTTCTTTCGTAGAATTAATTTTTAATTATTAAATCATATTAATTTTAAAATATATTTAATATATATAATTTTTAACGACTAAAAATAAAAAAATAATGATAGTTCACCCCACGATCTTACCTGAAAACTCTCTTATAAGTATGGATAATCCTAAAAGTGGCGTAAAAAAAAAAGCTTATTACTTGCATGTAATTTTGAAGCGGTCATTGTTCACTAACTTTTAAACAATAAAAGAAAAATTATTAAAGTTTTAGGATTTTTTTTGTCTACTGATAAGATCAATTTTTAACTGCTAGATATAATTAAAATTACATTAAATTTAAAAATATATACAGAATAGATAATTTATGATATAGATCTGATCGTTGATGAGTAGAGAAGTATAAATAATTCATTTTTTTCAGTCTTATTAAAGAAATTGTCAAAATTTTGTTATGATATGAAAGATTTTACATTTTGAAGATGAAACTGTTTCAAATTGTCTCATTTATATTGATTTTTTTTATCAGTTTTACTTATTTTATTTTTCTTTTCTATATGATCTTGATTAAATCTAGCATTTGAAAACAGACATTAGACTCAGATATCTCATTTTGTTTTCATATGATAGGACTATGATCTAATGTATGTTTTAAAATAATATCCTAACACATTTTTTCTGTTATTTTATTCGATATACGTACGGAAAAAATATTTAGGTAGCAAAGAAGTCCAAAAGTGCGACATTTTGTTTAGATGTTGATGTAACTTGATTTTAGAGATGGATATTTACAGTGTGTAAAGGTGATCATCCGACCAAAACAACTATTTATATATACGGACTATGGCAAACAATCTAGTGGGAATATAATCTCAATGCCCATGCCATTGTACCATGGGTCTGCCTAGACGACTGACGAGTGCTGGAATAATATTGCACACAATCAGTTCGCTTCATTTAGAACACTTCTATTTATTCTGATCGGATTAAAATTTACTCACAAAAAATGAGTCTCATTAAATTAATAGGTAGGACTCATCATTTTATGAGTAATGGAGTTTTTTGGCAATGAGAATAAATACCATGTTTGCTTTATTTTATAAGTAGTTTTCTAATTTACCTACAATATATACGTGTTAATGTTATGATTTTACTATTATTGTTCAATAAGATGAGAGCATATGGCATAGTGAATAAAAGCATTAATTTCTCTCTCAAGTTTTTTTTTTTTTTTGGTTGCTGGAAAGCACCAAGTTATATATACAATGAAAAATCAGTTGATATATCATATTCATGTTATAGTTTCTACTTAGAAGAATTGAGGAGCAAGGACAATCAATTACCTCTTTCATATCTATTTAGTTGATTAATGGTATTTCTATTGCCTAGGGAGTGCACGTTTTTCTCAGGGGTAGTTGGATTTTCTCACATAGTGGGGCATAAAACATTATCTACGTACACTGATGACAAAGAAAGCTATACGACCCTAGAAATATGTAGATCAACTAGGTCATTATCTAGTAGTAACCTAATCTACACATCATTCATTTTTTTTTTTTATTCCTAGTTAGGCGAGCATTATGAGCTCTACTAAGCTATATTTCATAGAATAACCAAAAGCAAAGTACAGTAAAAAGTAAGTATATATAGATTCAATTTGCAGTCATGTACTGAAGTACCGTCTTTTTTCTTCTTTTACAATTTAATTGCTTTCTTTATCGCCTCCTTAATTTACTGGCGATCCAAACCCTATGATTAGCGGTTGTATATATCTATATATAGAAGTTGAATGTATGAAGCTCGTGTATATAATAATCATTATGTAATATAACATATATATTATGCATAGTATAATATTCCCATGCATGCACTACAAGCAAAAAAGGTAACGCCCGTGGCCTAACTCATGCTGCCATAATACACGTACACTTGTACTTTTTCTTGGATGGAACACTTTTTTATTACATTGTATTATTACTAACAATCATAAATTATTATAGTCGTTGGTGATATTATATTGTCGTAGATAAATACACTAGTGGGTCCCGCAATGGGCGTCTCCATTTGAAACGAAGCCAAAAACGAAGAACGAAAATCATAGGAATAGCAGTATTAATGTAATATAGTTATTTTTCTTTTCATACTCGTCCTAAGAAGCAAAAAAATATTTTTAAAAAATACAAATAGAGAGAGAAAGAGGAGCCACAGCAGTCCCCACATGTAGCTATAGTAGTGGTAGTAGCCGACCCAAAACAGGGTTTTCTTCTGGAGCTAGCTAGCCGACTGAAATGTCGTGCTTAACAGAACACTGTAATAAAGCTGTTTCCTCTGCCTCATATATGCCTCAGAAAAACTGTTCCTCTCTCTATCTCCTTCTCTCTCTCTGCACCCCCCAAACTGATCATTATTCTCTCTCTCCTCTCCCTTTCTCTCTCTACTCTCTCCCTCCTTAAAAACCCACTCCCCACGTCCTCTTCTCACCACCGCAACAAAAACCAACATTCCAAAAACCACAACTCCAAAAATCACAACTCAACCTTACAAGTTCTCCAACTTGAAAACTTTACGTATAGATACAATATATAGATATATATAGACCTGATGCCATCGGAGACGGGGGAGCAGATACGGCGGCCGGCGAAGTCCCAACACCCGGGAGGAGCGGCGGCGGCGACGGCGGCGGCGGAACAGGAGCATCTGCCGTGTCCGAGGTGCGACTCGACCAACACCAAGTTCTGCTACTACAACAACTACAACTTCTCTCAGCCGCGTCATTTCTGCAAGTCCTGCCGCCGCTACTGGACCCACGGTGGGACCCTCCGCGACATCCCCGTCGGCGGCGGAAGCCGCAAGAACGCCCAGCGCTCCCGCACCTCCGCCGCCACCTCATCTTCCTCTTCTACCACCTCCTCGACCCAAAACCCAGATTTCCAATCCGATCCGGCCCGCTCTTACGCCTCCCCGGCCGCCCGCCACCCCGGTTCTCGTGCCATTCTCCGCCGCCGCCAGTCAGGGTTTTGGCGGTGACGTGAAGGCTGGCGTTGGTGGGCTTTGCGGCGGGAGCTTTACGTCGCTGCTCAACACTCAGGGGCCGGGGTTTCTGGCTTTGGGTGGGTTTGGGCTTGGGATTGGGACTGGGTTTGAGGATCTGAGTTTTGGGCTTGGGAGAGGGATTTGGCCGTTTTCCGGCGTGGGAGATGGCGGCGGCGGCGGTGTTGGTGTTGGGGGCAATGGTGGTGGTGGTGTTGGGCCCAGAGGGATAGGATCCGCGTGGCAGTTCGAGAATAGTGATCATCATGGTGGACATGGAGGGCTTGTTGCTGCGGGTGCAGGGGATTTCTGTTCTTGGGCTGAGCCTGCGATTTCTACACATGGAAACGGTCTCAAATGAAATATGAAAATGGAAAATGAATCTTCGTTTGTTGTTTATTAACTGCTCTTCTTTTGTTTTTCTTTACGTTTTTAAATTTTTCCTGGTTTTTAAATGGAAATTGTGGTTTAGTTTTAAGGGTCTTTAGTTTTTTTGAGGTCAAACCAGCTTAAAAAACCAGAGTTTAGAGAGAATGTTATAATGGCCTTTTCTTTGTTTTTCTTTTTCACTCTTTTCTTCCTTTTTAACTCTTATATGGCTTTTGTTTTCTCCTCTCCTACTTGTAATCACTATGCTTATATGACATTGTTAATTAGTCTAATACGTTAATGTTATCTCCTCTCATCAAATGAATTGGTGAGTTTATAGAAAGTAGAACATCTCTTTTTGTGATGGGAAATTGGCTTAATCACCTATCTTTATGCTTATATTTATTTGTTTATTTTTGTAAACAAGTGAATATGTATATATATAGTACGTCGTGGTGCATGGAATAACAATTGAGGTACATTCTATTTGTCTATATATATATATATGTAGATGTAAAGATTTTGGACGTTGAGCCAAAGCCAAGATTAAGAAGCGCCATGGTCTTAAATGAAGGCCATACTCGACCCATGAGCCATCTTTATCTGCAAAGATCTCTCCGGCCTCCGTGCCCAAAGAATGTTGGCGCCTGTTTTTCTTTTATCGCCCGCGTTTTCTGCAAAATCGAGGCCATAATTTAATTTGATTCTTAACTTACTCTTGTACCTCTGCTAGTTAATTATATACGGTTCAGATGAGAATTCAAACAATTGTTGTTGTAATAAGGTTCCGTTTATTTAATCGATTTGAGTTTAAAATTTGAATTTTATTACAGTAAAAAACTTTCAGAAATAGTCACATCTAATTTTTTTGTTATAATAAATTTGTTTTTACATAAAATCACATCTCAATTCGAATTAAAAACTTAAATTAGCGAATTAAACAGGTTTTAAGTTATTTATTTATTTTTCTTGGACAATTATTATGGTTTTGTTCACTTTACGGATTTGAATTTTTAATTCGAATTAAGATGTGATATTTTTTAAGAGTTTTTAACTATAATAAAAAAAATTAGATGTGATATTTTTTAAATTTTTAATTATAAAAATTTAAAATTGAAAATTCGAATAACCGAACTAGTTGTCCGAGGGCCAAGGGTTGGTGAATTTAATATTTTTGAAATAGAATCTTCAGTTGAAGAATAACGAGCTCAAAATTATGGCGTACGTACAATATTCTTATATACTCAACTGTGATGAATAAAAAATATATATCCATTCACACACACCTTATTAACAAATTTATTAAATTGTAAAGTATATTTTATTAATATTTCTACAATATTCATGTCTTAGTAGTGACTTAAGGTCATGCTGGCTTCGCATATGAAAAAGAAAGAGAATTAGGAGTGATTCTCTATTCTATGTATATCACATGTTTCCTTAGAAAAATAAATTCAGCTAGCCTTAGAAAAATAAATTCAGTTAGCCTCACTCACGACATAGAAAATGAGGAAATGAAATGATTATAATCCATACAACTCTTTTGACCTAACAGAAATACTAAATGGACAATTTACTAATTACATTTGATAAGATTATTATTATTATAAATTTTAATAGACCTTATAAAAGAACAGGAAGAATTTGATTTGGTGCGCATGCATAAATTATATGATATAATTTATTTTCTTTGTAATGAAAGGTCCCAGCAACGGCTATAGAAAGTTGTTGGTTGGCGACGCAATTGACGACTTTCAATTGATTGATAAGTATTCAAGCAACAAAAACAATAATAAAAAAAAAGAAATGATCCATGTGGGTCCCACATAAGGATTCACCTGTTCAAACAACTTTTTACTATAATTTGTAGGTAACAATTTAGGAGGTGAGGAGAGAACTATGGCAAACTATGCATGCAAATGACTGTCTTATTCGTGTGAACAAAACCGAGTGGTTCTACATTAACGTTTTTGGGCAACCTAATATAATTTGTACGCGAAATTGACAGGCTTTTGCTGTGATTTGGGTCAAATTCAGCATAAAAATCCAATGCGGTATTCAAACCATTAACCAACCGCTGGAAAAGCACTATTCCGAGTCGGTCGTGCAATCAAAATCTTGAAAACTACAGAAAAGTCTTCCCAAGTTTCAAAATTCCTGTCCCCACCGCCGTATCATTCCCTCCTTAAATTTGCACTCCACATTTAAGCTATTCATGATTCCGTTTATTTTACCGATTTGAGTTTAAAATTTAAATTTATTACAGTAAAAAAATCTCAGAAACAGTCGCATCTAACTTTTTTACTGGAGTAAAAAGCTCTCACATAAAATCACATTTTAACTCGAATTAAAAATTCAAATCATCAAACTAAACGGATAGCTCTCAGTCAATAAAGTAACCATAGACGAAAACAAAAATACATTTTGGTAACATTTCTCTTTCGAGAATAGCTGAATTATACGGCTATTGGAGACACCAACAATGCCGAGGAAGATGATTTGTTCACTTGCTTATTTCTAATAGCTTACTTCTATTCTTCTATTCAAATTTTGCTACATGTGTAAATCACCCATTTTTATTTGGGGCTTGGGCCACATTAAAGCCCTACAAAGCGTGGGCCAGACCAATCAGGTTTTCTTATTGGGCCAAAACGGGCTCTTACCTTATTTTCTTGTTCTTCTTATTGGGCCACATTAAAACCCTACAAAGTTTGTCAGCAACTTGCTTATTTTCTTGTTCTTATTTTCTTGTTCTTGAACTTGTTCTTCTTCACCAAACCCTCGCAGAAGAAGGGCGAGCGTTTCTCTCGCAGTTTCGCTCCCTCCTTTTTTTCCCTCCCCTAGGGGTTTTCAAAAAAAGAGGAATTTTATCCAAAACCTCAATTCGTAATCCACAACAAAAATCCCTCAAAAAAAAAAAAAAAAAGAAGAAGAAGAAAACTCTCCCACATTTCAAGAAAACCAGAACACAACAATGGCGTTTCCGCTCTTCTCCACCCCACAACAACAACAACAACAAACGCCTCCGACGTCGTTGTTTCAGCCTCAGCCGTTTCAACAAAGCAGCCCCTTTTTGTCTCAACAACAACAACAACAAACGCCACAACCTTTTCAAACACCAACACAACAACCTCAGCAGCAGCAGCAACAACTAATACTACTACAACAACAACAACAACAGCAACAACAACAGCAGCAACAACAACAACAACAACAACAACAACAACAACAACAACAACAACAACAACAACAACAGCAACAACAACAACAACAGCATCATCAACAACAACAACAACCTCAGCAGCAGCAGCAACAGTTGTTTCTGTTCACAAACGACAAGACTCCCGCGACTTACGGCACCAAGTGGGCCGATCTCCATCCCGATTCCCACAAAATCCTTCTTCAGATCGAGTACGCTTCTCTTTCCAAAGTTTGAATCTTGTTAAAAAAAAAAAATTGAACTTCTCCATAATGGGTTTTTAGCTATTTGTCCCAATTGGCTGCCAAGAAATCAAATGTAGGACTTTAGGGCAAAATTGCTTATTTGTGCTTTTGTAATTTAGGACTTGGAAGCTTCTTTGGACATTCTCTCGGGAACATATTAGCACCTAGTTGAATAACTTAGTCAATTTTGTGATTATATATGAAACTCTGATTGCAAAATAATAGTGGGTTCTATTTTTTTTTTTAGTTGGCCTTCGATTGTTGTTGTTTGTACTTTGTTGGGGGCTATAATTTATACTTGAGCTTTAACTTGTGTCGTTTCTGTCGTTCGTTGTAATATGTTGTATGTGCATAGGGAGCGGATTCTGGAGTATAGAGATGAGAGCCAGAGGCTTGATCAGTGTAGTCGGCTTTACAATTCTTCGGTTTCCAATGATGGATTTGAGCAGGATGCAAGCCATATTGTCCAGGTTAGATCGTCGTAGGGTCACATTTCTTTTCACTTTATGTAGTCTGTACTGCTTTTAGTTGCTTAGAGCTTGTGAATGTCGTTTAAAGTTATTATGTACCATTTAAAAAGAGCTGATTGTGTGCGTACTTTGTTAGTTTATGAGGTAGTGGAGATATAAATTGCACCTAGTAATTGATCATAAGGGTCCTGCTTCTCGCGTCTTAAATTTTCATAATCTTCAGCTTCAAATAATTAGATCTGTTATTACACGGGAGCGCTTTCCTATGAGAAGCAGTGTGTTTACAGTTACTTACATTAAGTGGTAGTAGCCTAGTAGTTAGCAGTTACCACTTTTATATTCTCAATATAGTTAATGTAGGCTGCAGAACAAAACTCTAATGCTATTACTACAGGAACTTGGCGGAATCAGTACTGCTATGGAAAGACAGAAATCTTTGTTGCATGAGCTAATGGCCTCTGTGAAAGATATGCTGCGGAACACTGAGGTTGCTGTTCGTTCTTTTATGATGCTACGTCCAAGGTTTGTTCATCCAAATATAGGAGGTGGTTCTATTGCCACTGCGCCTTCACAGCTTCCTGGAGCAACAGTACCACCCGGTTCAAGTGGTCAATCAACTGCCACCTCTATAGTGCCAGTCTTTGATTTCTACAACGGGATTCCCCGGAAACCTTCTCCTTTTCTACAGCAAACAGTTGCTAGATTTGAGAAGTACCTCTGCCAGTGTCGCCAGTGGATCGAAGAGTTAGAGCAGTTGCTCCTCTTAGATTCTGAAAAGAACTCTTGCAATGGTGCATCTTTGTTGCAGTCTCTTCCAAAAGTCATGTCAAATGTGCATGACTTTTTTGTTCATGTGGCTGCTAAGGTAAAGGAAAACATCATACAGAAAAGTTTTTATTTTAAATTGTATCATTTTTAGTAGCAAATACACAACCTCTCTCATCCGTGCAAAGTTAAGATTTTGATACTTGTGATGAATTACTGAATACTGATAAACTATGATGCATTCCTTAGGTTGAGAGCATTCATCAATATATTGAATCCATGAAAGCAGCTTATCTTGCTGACCAGCGGCGTCGAGGGGATGTGAATGATCCATTTCTTGAGGCCGATCGAAGGGAAACAGCAAGACAAGAAGCTGCTGCTAAGAGGGTACATCCAACTTTGCATTTGCCTGCGAATTCACAACCATCAACTCAAGTTGCAGGATTGCTTGCTAGTTCAGCTAGTCAAGGGACATCAACTGCACCACAGACATCTGCAGCGACTACTGCAGCATCATCTGGGAGTGGGTTCTCACTTTTTAGTACACCTGCTGCTCCATCGACCTCCATGTTATCTTCTCTGTTTACAACACCAACTGCTTCCGCTCCAACATCTTCTCTGTTTGGAACATCTTCTGCTAAACCTGTGACATCTCTTTTTAGTACTTCATCATCATCTTTTTTTGCGTCTTCCACCCCTTCCCTTCTCGGTAGTACTACTCCTGCTTTTGCTACTACCACTTCTGCTGGAGGTTCACTATTTTCATCACCATTTGCTTCTGGTACTCTCTTATCCTTTTTACCTCTAGATTAGAATATATATTTAGTTAACAGAGATTTTGTTCTTTATTTTTCATATCAAAATTTGGAGAAATAGTTGAGTGGCCGAGGGCATTGTGTATATTGTGGGAGTTTTGTTTATGTTAGCCTTGTTGATATCATAACCTGCCAAAGCAGTGTCCAGGACAAATTTGTTCTCTCAGAAATGCCATTTTTGTTTTTGCATTACTCGATAGATGTTGTCTTATCAAGTTCTTAAATAGTGATTTGCATGTTCTTGTACTTGATAAATCTTTCAATTCTACAATAAAATCCTGCAGACACACACTCTCATGAGGTATCGGGCATTTTCCTTTTGAGTTGTCTCAAATAGGTGTCTGTATTTGATAGGTTCTAGGGTTTCTTACACAGACAAGAAAAGAAAAGAACGAAAATGAGTCAAGAATCAAGAACTCTTATTGTATTATGGACAAATGTACACAACCGCAGTTCTTCGAGGGACTGCAACCTCCTAGCTGGCTTAATTGCCAAGCTCCTTTCTAACTCTCTCTTTGGATAACCCCCCGTACCCCCTCTGCTTCCTCCATTTATCCCTCTCTTCATTTCCCCCTATTTTGTTGTAACTAACTCTCTGCCCCTTAACCCTTCCCTTCTAACTTCCTCTAATCTGTTAGAAGCAAATCTATTTACACCCGTTTCCCCCTCCTAACGAAAACCTGTCTGACCAAAGGCTTGGTCCTATCAATTACTCCGCTCCCCAAAAGAGTCACCTTGTCCTCAAGGTGAAAATCCGAAAACTGTTGTTGGATGACATCAAACAACTCCCAAGAGGCCTCAAAATCAGGCAGATCCTTCCACTTAATCAACACTTCCAACTAGCCGGTGTTAGGAGAAAAACGAGTATCCACAAGTTGCGCTGGTTCGACACGTAACTCGAAATCCTCAGAAATGAGATAAGGAAGCTCTTGGGAAGTATCGGACACTCCAATAGCTTGCTTGAGTTGTGACACATGAAAAACCGGGTGAATCCTGGCAGAAACCAGCAATTGTAAACGATACGCCACTGGCCCCACGGGAGCCAAGATCTTATATGGGCCATAAAACCTAGGAGATAATCTATCGTTGACAAACTTGGCCAATGAACGATGACGATACGGCCGTAGCTTCAGGAAAACCAAGTCGCCCACTTGAAAATTGACGTCCCTACGTTTGAGATCGGCATGCAATTTCATACGATGCTGAGCCTGCAGCAAATGCATCTTCAGCTCATCCAAAAGAGTGTCCCGGGACTGAAGTTGCTGCTCCAACAACGAATTGGCAGCTGATCCACTCTCAAAGCGAAACAGCTTAGGAGGGTCACAACCGTAAAGGGCTCGGAAAGGAGTCATTCCCGCCGCGACATGGTAGCTTGTATTGAACCAATATTCTGCCCAAGGGATATGGGAAAACCACTGAGCGGGTTGAGTCGACACAAAACAATGAAGGTAAGCCTCCAGACATCGATTCACCACCTCGGACGGGCCATCCGTTTGAGGATGATAAGTGGTACTACGATGTAAGAAGGTGCCCTGTAACTTGAATAGTTCAGTCCAAAAGTGGCTAAGGAAGGCTTTGTCACGATTCGAAATGATAGTGCGAGGAAAACCAGGGAGGCGTACAATCTCCTTCACAAATAAGGCAGCCACATATTTGGTTGAGAATGGGTGGCGCAAACTGAGAAAATGTGCATTCTCACTCAAACGATCAACCACCAATAATATTGTGTCATGGCCCCCGGCTTTGGGCAATCCCTCCACGAAGTCCATCGTAATGTCATCCCAAACTTGAGTCGGAAGAGGGAGTGGTTGGAGCACTAGCGGGAGAAAGAGTCGAAACCTTATGTTGCTGACAAATAAGGGCACGCAGCCACGAACGACATGACATCCTGTTTCATTCCCAACCAAAAGAACTCTGAAGCCAGCCGTTTATAAGTTTTTAAAACCCCTGAATGGCCTCCCACCTTACTGCCATGGAACTCTCTCAACAAAACTGGAATGATGGAAGATCTTTTGGGAATCACCACACAATTCTTATAGAGCAATAAATCATTCACCAAGGTGTATCCTTTCACTGCTGTTGAATCAGCCAACAACTGAGCCTTGATTTCAGCCAATTTCGGATCCAGAAGGACTTGTTGGCGGATGGTGTCCCAATCAAAAGCTGCCGTGGAACTTAGGCGCATGAGCTCCAAATCTGAGGGTTTCCGGGATAAAGCATTAGCCACCCGATTCTCTACACCCGGCTTTTTTTGTATTTCAAAATCATACCCCAATAGCTTGCACAACAAATGTTGATGCTCCCCACTCACCAATTGCTGGTCCAGTAAAAACTTTAGGCTTTTCTGGTCGGTCCGCACATTAAAGTGTCGACCAAGAAGATAGTGACGCCATTTCTAAATAGCGAGGACCACCGCCATCAATTCCCGCTCATAAATGGACTTTGCGCGAGCCCTAGCCGACAAGACCTGACTGAAATAGGCAATTGGTCGCTGTTGCTGCATTAAGACTGCTCCAATTCCGAACCTAGAGGCATCCGATTCCAACACAAACGGCAGGGAGAAATCTGGTAAAGCTAGTACAGACGTCGTTGTCATGGCCGTTTTCAAGCTTCGGAAAGCTTCCTCGACTAACTGATTCCAATTGAAACTGTCCTTCTTCAACTGTTGGGTTAAAGGCCAGGCTATATGTCCATAACCAGCCACAAACCTTCTATAATACCCTGTGAGACCCAAGAATCCTCGCAACTCCTTAATAGAACGAGGAGTTGGCCAATCCAACATAGCAGAAATCTTGGTAGGGTCTGTTGACACCCCCTCACCAGAAATGATATGACCAAGATATTCCAATTGACTTTGAGCAAACATACACTTTTTTTGGTTGACATACAACTGTTGCTCCTCTAGTGTTGCTAACACCAAATCCAAGTGTGTCAAATGTTCATCAAAAGAGGTGCTATAGATCAAAATGTCATCGAAAAATATCAACACAAATTTCCTCAAGAAGGGTTTTAATACCTCATTCATCAATGATTGAAAGGTGGCAGGGGCATTGGTAAGGCCAAACGGCATCACTAAGAATTCGTAGTGGCCTTCATGGGGTACGAAGTGCCGTCTTCGGAACATCCTCGTCATCCATCCTAATTTGGTGATATCCGGCCTTTAAATCCAATTTAGTAAAAACGGTTGCCCCACCCAATTCATCCAAAAGCTCCTCAATTACCGGTATGGGAAATTTGTCAGGCACCGTAGCTTTGTTGAGCGCTCGATAGTCAACACAAAAGCACAAACTTCCATCTTTTTTCTTAACTAAGAGCACGGGACTAGAGAAAGGGCTTGGTACTTGGTTGGATTATTCCGGCTGCAAGCATCTCCTTTACCAACTTCTCTATCTTGTTCTTTTGGAAATGGGGATATTTATAAGGACGGACACTAATTGGGCCTGCTCCTCCCTGAAGTATGATGCGGTGGTCGTGTGAACGACGAGAAGGTAGACCAACCGGCATATGTAAGACCTTGGAATGCTGCTGCAACAAGTGTTGCACCGGTTCTTGAAGTAGACTTTCCGTGTTGGAATCAACTCGTAAGGTGCTTAACTCCAAATAGACTCCTTGACCCCCTTGTTTAATAGTGCAGAACATTGCCTTGAGAGAAACCATAGCCTTAGAAAGGCTCGTATCCCCTTTTAAAATCACGCCTTCCCCTACTTTGAATTTCATAACTTGAGTCTTCCAATTGACATGCATCCCTCCCAAGGTTTCCAACCACTGCATGCCCAAAATCACATCGACTCCCCCCAATTCCAGTGGCAGAAAATTCTCAACAATTGTCAAACTCGGTAGAGTCAAAACTACTACCCTACAAAGCCCCTTTCCTCGAACCAATTCCCCCGTCCCCACTTGTACACCAAAACTAGTAGTTGGAACAACTTGAATTGCTAACTTTTTCATAGTTTTTAAGGAAATGAAATTATGTGACGCGTCGGAATCAATCAACACAATTACCTCCTGTTGGGCAATGGTACCACGAAGCTTCATGGTCTTTGGAGTAGATAAGCCCACTACCGAATTCAAGGAAAGTTCAATAACCTCCTGTTGTACTTCCTCCATAGACTCCCATGGATGTGCTTGGTCTAGCTCTTCCCATTCAGCCTCATCCTCATCACTAACCAACATGATCCGTAATTCTTTCTTCTTGCATCGATGTCCCAGGGTGAACTTCTCATCACAACGGAAACACAAACCTTTCTCTCTTTTCTCCTGCAAATCGGAATCCGAAAGTTTGCGAAAAGGGAAATCCTTCTTTTGAGGTACTGCCTTCTCTATTACTGTCGGAAAACGAAGTAGGCGTTGTGCCCCACCATTGGCTTTTGAGGACAAGGTGGAGAACTCTCCACGAGCAATTCCTGGCTGTTGTGCCCGTGACCATTTCAGCCCAGACACCTCCTTTCACAATAATTCATTCTTCTCCTCTATCCACTGCGCTGTTTCCATAATCTCTCCTAACCTAGAGGGCTTCAATAGCCTTAGTTCTGCCCGAACTTCAGCCCTGAGTCCATTAATGAAAATCCCTTCCAATATCTCCTCTGGAACATCCCTGAGCGGAGTTGCCGTAATTTTGAACCTCCGGCGGTAATCAGCCACCGTACCATCTTGCTTAATTGCCAAAAACTTTTCGCATAAACTTCCTTCCTGAGACGAACGGAAACGCTGCAAGAGAGCCATCTTGAACTCCATCCAATTGAAGAAAGGCCTTCTCCCATTTTGCCATTGGAACCAGGACAAAGCTTCATTATCCAAAGCTATTCCTGCCGTGATCAATTTCTCTCTTTCTGAACAGCGATTGATTGCAAAAAACTATTCCATACTGAACGCCCATCCGTCTGGATCATCCCCACTGAAAACCGGGCATTCTATGTGCTGCCGACGATTAGCCATCCATTCTTCGTCCACGAGGACTTCTTCCCGTCCTCCCATGTTCCTCTTGACTTCTTTGCTACTCCCTTCCCCGTGCGGAAAACCAGCCCTAGCAAATTCCCGCCGACATTCCTCTCTCGTTCCTCCTTGCCACGCCTCTCTAGCCATACCCGCGAGCGCCAACCCCACTGCCAGCTCCACCGCCATTCCTTCGGAATCCCTCCTCCCTAGTCGTGCCCCACCAATCGCCTCGGTACCCAAAGGTTCCCCCCCTCTGATTCCTCACCGGCACTTCCTGTCCTCCGTCACACCTGAGAATCTCCTCCGTCACCCTACGATCCACCGCGCGATTCTCCTCTTGCGAACCCAGTGCGACTTCTGCTCGAAGCTCATCCATTACACCGGGGTTAATCGGTGCTGGTCCGCCGTCTGTCATCGTCGTGATCACCTTCGCCTTCTCTGGCGCCGGAGCCGCCGCCGACGAATTCTTCACGTGTTCCTCCCAGAATCGACGAAGATCGATCAGGCTTTGGATCAACTCTGCCTTAACCTTGCCTACCTCCTTCTTCATCGCTTCTCTTATCTCCTTAATCTCCCTTTCGACGGTATCGAATCTCTCCGTCTTCCTGGCCGCCATAATCGCCCAGAAACGTTGCTTTGATACCAAAATGATAGGTTCTAGAGTTTCTTACACATACAAGAAAAGAAAAGAACGAAAATGAGTCAAGAATCAAGAACTCTTATTGAATTATGGACAAATGTACACAACCGCAGTTCTTCGAGGGACTGCAACCTCCTAGCTGGCTTAATTGCCAAGCTCCTTTCTAACTCTCTCTTTGGATAACCCCCCGTACCCCCTCTGCTTCCTCTATTTATCCCTCTCCTCATTTCCCCCTATTCTGTTGTAACTAACTCTCTGCCCCTTAACCCTTCCCTTCTAACTTCCTCTAATATGTTACAAGCAAATCTATTTACACATGTTTCCCCCTCCTAACGAAAACCTGTCTGACCAAAGGCTTGGTCCTATCAGTATTATTCTAAATATGCATAAAAGGTTTCGTGGAATTTTATAATTGGTCATAATTGGAATTTCTTTATTGGGCACTTGTTAAACCCTCGCTGTTATTCACTGTGTGCATTTTTAGCATAGTATTCACACGAAAGTAGTCAACATAAATTTTTGGCTACTGGTTTCATGATATAATTTTATTATCTTGACATACAATGATACAAATTTGTCTTTTCTTAAATATTTTTGCTCTTTAATATCTTGATTACCTAAGTGCGTTATTTGTTTTGAAGGTGCTGCATTATCAACTGCGACTAGCTTCGGACCTGCTTTGGTGAGTTAATTTTCTCTCAGCTCTCTGATCTTTTGATGAGTTAGAAAATTTTTATTCCCTATAGTTAACTATGTTTTTTTGCAATATAGAATGCTTAAACTAAAGCTTCACCGTGGTTAGAAGAATAAAAAACAAGGGTCAATAATACCAAACTAGTCGTACTTCATGTCTATCAGTGTAACCAGCTCTTTTTTCTGTATGTATGTCATGCTATGGATATTAATATGGTTCCTGTCCTATGTCCACACAGAAATCGTCGAAGCCTAAATCTCGAACTGGACGACGCTAGTCATAACAACTCCAGGATGTGAAATCCACAGGCCACTTTGTGTATGTATACAACTCAAGAAAAAAGTTCTTTTGCTCTCTTTATTGCTTTAAGTTGGCTTCTTTTGTTGTGTAGTTATTGGATCTTGAATTTTTCTTAGTTGAGTTAAAGAAAATCAAGTTTGCATTTGAGATGCTGCTGGCTCATTCTGGCTCATGAAGTCGAAGTTGCCTCAGTCTATTTGTTCCTCAAACTTCCACAAGATGCCCAAAGGTTCAAGTTAGTGCAACATTCCATGGTGCAATCTATTTTCGCGTTTCTTCAGATGTGATTTCCCACAGGGCAAAAGATGCAGTCCAATCGTGGCAGATGTAACGTGTCAAATAATTGCCTATAGTTGTAGATTCGATGTAGAATTTTCTCCATTGTCGAATTTTTTGCTTGCTAATTGGCTTAGGCAATCATGCTCTTCACCTCAAAATGATCACTAGTATTTCAGCTGGTTTGACCTCCATTGGCAAAACCATCAGATAATGTCCTTTGGTAGGACTATAATTGTGATGCATCTTTTAACGGCCCTTTTTGGCTGTTTTCTTTTTTGGGTTCAAATTCTTTTCGACATACTAATTAGCTACTTCTATGTATCAGCTGATATTGACATTCATTGAGAGTTGATACTGACTTCCATTAAGCCAAATAATCATCATGCAATACAGGAATTGTTCATGGAGGAGTTAATCATCATGCAATGTTAAAAGTTGGTTCACCCACTTGTTGGTATGTGAATAAGAATTCATGGTAGCAGGCATAGAATAACGGTAAATTTACTGTCTCTAATGTGTTAGGCTCTGTTCATTTCACCGATTCGAGTTTTGTTACAGTAAAAAGTTTTTAAAAACAGTTAAATCTAACATTTTTATTACAGTAAAAAGTCAACTCGAATTAAAAATTCGAATCAACGAACTAAATGGGCCATTTAAGTTGAGAGTTAACAATCTTTCACCCCCACTTCAATAGCGAGAAAAAAAAACCATAATCGCTAACTTCAATAGCGAGAAAAAAAAACCATAATCGCTAAATAATCGTATTGAAGATAAGTGAAGTCTCTACATGCTAGTTCAAGCAAATGCTGTATCAATTTCATCTCTTTGTGCTCTTATCATGTTTCCTTGTAACCTATGCAATTGCATTTGAGCTTCCGCAAGCTCTGGGTGTGATTGAATACCAGAAAAGAATACCTGAATATTATTCTTAGCCTCCAACCAGCTTAACCCTGGATCCTTTTCCGACATCAATCCTCTAAACTTTCTCCTCATCTTTGAAACACCATTCCACTCTCCGGAAGCTGCATAGAGATTTGAAAGCAAAACATGTGTTGCACAATCCTCTGGATCCAATCTCAAAACCTGCTCTGCGGCTTTGATTCCGATCCTCATATTTTTTCTAACGACACACGAACTTAGCAAAGTTCTCCATAACTCAGTATTATCCTCACCAAAAGGTGATTTGAGAATCATTTCCTCTGCTTCATCTAATAACCCATTTCGACTTAACAAACTCACCATGCAACAATAGTGCTTAGGCCCAGGCGTGATGCCATTTTCCAGCATATAGTTCCACACGAGCTTTCCCTGTTCGACCAATCCACGGTGGTGGCAGGCTGAGAGGAGAGACAAAAATGTTACTTGGTCTGGCTTCAAGCCATGTTTTAAAATCTCATCGAAAATCTGTAATGCCTCCGCAACCATTCCGTGGTGACTGTATCCGCTGAGCATGGAGTTCCAGCATTTCAAGTCAGGGTTCAAAGCTCGAGAAAAGATTGTGCAAGCATTTTCAATGACACCATTTTTGGCATACATATCTACCAGACTTCCCAAGACAGACATTTCAGCCTCATATCCTATTTTCACAGCCTGAGAATGAATCATCTCTCCCTGTCTTAAAATTGCAAGGTCGGCACACGCACTTAAAGCTCCACTGAGAGCAAAGGAATCAACCTTATGGCCTTCCCGACACATTCGACAATAGAATTTAATTGCGTTGTTTCCGTCCGCCAATCTAGAATAACTCGTGATCATCTCGGTCCATAGAACGACATCCTTATTGGAGATTGAGTAAAATACTTTTCCGGCAACTTCAGGTTCACCATTTTTGAAATACATAGAAACAAGTGTAGCTCCAACAAATACACTCTTCTCCAAGCCTGCTTTGATAACTTGAGCATGAAGAGGTTTCCCAATCTCAGATGCTAAGAACCCTGAAGTTGCAGAAATAACAGCTGCAAAAGTATGCTCATCCGGTTCAACAAAAGACATACCCTTTAACTCGACAAACAAACACATAGCCTTCTCCCCATCTCCGTTCTCCGCAACCCCGGAGATCATCGAGTTCCATGAAACCAAATCAGTGCTTCCCATTCTCCTGAAAAGAGTAAACGCCATCTGAGCATTACTGCAGTTGCAATACATGTCAAGTAGGGCATTCTGCAAAGTTAAATCAGCTTGGGAGTTGGAAATAACAACCCGGGCATGAACAAGTTGTCCGATTCGATAATCTCCCAATGTGCCACACGCATTCAGAACCATCGAATACGTGAATTGAGAAGGACTAACCCCGGTTCTCAACATGTCATAGAAAAGCTGAATCCCATTCTTCACCTCATCATTCCTCAAGTTCCCAAGTATAATGGAGTTCCAAGCAACAACATCTTTGTCAACTAACAACGCGAAAACTTTTCTCGCTGCCTTTAAATCCCCACAATTGGAGTACATTCCAAGTAGAGATGTCTGAACACGTTGGTCATTTGAGAACCCAAATTTCATTACTTGGTCGTGAAGCAAACAGCCCAAAAACCAATCTTCAAGCCTAGAGGAAGCCTGTAGTAAGCTTGTGAAAGTGGTGCCGTTAGGCTTATGACACTCAGCGGTCATTTGGTTACCCAGTTTCAAAGCCGAAACGGCGTTGTCTCGGGCGCGGGAATAGGCGGATATGAGGGCGTTGAAAGAGACGAGATTTCTCTGAGGCATTTTGTCGAACACCTTTCGCGCATCGCCGAGGGACCCGCACCTCGCATACATGGAGAGGACGTTGTTGTGAGTATACGGCGGCGAGTGAGGGACTACGGCGGCGACGGCTATGGAGGAGGTCAGGAGGAGAGCGTGGAGCTGACGCGCCAGTCTCAGTGACGTCACGGAGGTGCATTTTTGAACTAGAAGAGCTAAGGAAGCGGCTTCGTGCGACGTTGGCATAAAAACGCACCGTTTAACGCCGTTCTCAGGAACCATAGAAATGTCTGGAGCTCGTGATTGTGATTCTTCTCGGCTTTGCCACCTGATCGATGACTCTCTTCGTCCGTACAGAGTGAGTGTCTTGATCAATCCGAGGTTTTTTTGTTTTCTTTAAAGAATGTTGATAAATAACTGGATTTTCTCGGGAAAATTTTTGTTTTTCGTTGCTTTTGTAGGAATTAGATGTGGCTTCGGTCAGCAAAGAGAAGGAGAGAGAAATTCTGTTGGCTCTGTCTAAGGTTCAATTTCGCACTTCTCTTTCTTTTCGTAACTGTATGCAATTCCTTTGCAGCTAAAATTGACAATTTCTCTGCACTTAGTAGGTTTTCCGACAAGTTCAGCTCTTGAATGAAGAAGTTGATTCCGATAACGTCAGTCTCTCTCTCTATGCATACATACACACAGATATATTTATATGTATATATATAAATATATATAATATTTGCTCTAATGGCGGAAAAATTCACAAATGAACTTAAAAGCTTGGTTCTTGTGGGGAAACAGGGTTCAGTGGCGAAATTGGACTGCGAGAGCGAATTCTCAGATGGATGCGAATCACATTCTGAGGAAAATCAATGGCTCTCCAAAATCGTGACTGAACTGGTAAAGCTCTGTTTTGCTGATTATCCATACTTGCATATGAGCAACAATGGCGGTCTCTCTTCTACGACATGTCGTATAGCCTTGCTAAAAACGTATAGAATAGGCCTAATTAATTCCATCAAACTGATCTCAGATTTACTTGTAAACATTATTTTGCATTTTCTCTGCGCTTTTTTTTTTTTTTTTTCCCTGACCTTTGTTTTGCTTGTGTTGCTCTTTCAGGTGTACTTATTGACTATCAATAGTAAATATGTTCAGCATCTGGTGGGCAATGTTCTCGTTGTCGTTTCAGAGTTTGTGGCTGCATATGTATGTTAAACAATTTTATTCTGTTGAAAAGTTTAGCCTCCATTTATTTATCTTTTTTCCCCCCCAAGAACATAATTATTTTCATCTTTGGCTGCAAATAATGTTTGTAGGGAAGCAAGTGGGATGCGTTTATTCATTTCTTGTGTGCTAGTCTGGAATTGGCCATCAACACTTTGCTTTCGGGTTCTTTAACGCCTTCATTGCATGAAGCTGATGATTCTAATAGCAGTTCTTCAAGTTTCGCACTTGCATTGAAAGATAAGCTGAAAAATGCTAACTGGTCTGCAGTGGCTGGCATAGTTCGAGTTTTACGCCACATATTGAAAGATCTGGCACGGGAGGATGATGTCCAGTTTATTATCATCTACTTTGATGCGGTCACTTCGTGCCTTTTAAACGTGCCTTGGGATTCATTTACAGAACTTTTTGTTGCTCCGGATGGTGAAGCTCAAAAAACCTCTACTGCAGACAATTTAGTTCGACGATTCTTATTTTTGGGGTGTTTTATTCAGTTTCTGTGTTCCTTGGTGGAGCAAAGCGGTGCTGTGGAAGCTTCAGGTGGTTCTAAAGATAAGCATTCAGTTGTCTCTTTAGCAATTGTCCTTGTACCGAAACTTTTGAGTTGGTGTTCTGGCAAGTGGGGAGATACTGTTAACAAGTGCATCTTTCAATACTTGAGATACAAGATATTGGTATGGTAATCTTAACTTTTTGGCTAGTAAATTTAGAGGAAGATTCAACTGATATTATAAGATGCATTTGATTGACTAGCATTGTTCCTCTTTTAGTAACCTGAGCAATAGACTATGAGTTTGACGGTAAAGTTTGAACGTCTTAACCATTACAAGTTTGAATATGTATTAGTATCTCGTAATGTTTCAGTCGAGTAGATATATTTTCTAAGTTTTATGCTTTTTCAATTGGACAACTTTACAATTGATAGAATGATACAGCCATTTCCATCTATTTGCCCCGTTGTTGTGAAACTTCTAGCCCAACTCAGTGGTTAGGATGCAATTAGGTGATCTGGAGTTGCTCTTTAACTTCTCGAAGCATATAATTTGTGGTGGGGAGTTGCCTGGGGAAAAAAACTGTTTTAGTAGCTCAAAAGCTGATTTTTACGATTAAGTAGTTCTTGGCACTTGTGGACATTTTTTTTTGAGAAACATATATAAATTGTATTTGCATTACATGAGATCATGAATTGAGCTACAGCTACATATTGCAGGTGCTGATGATCAGGCTTAGTTTCCAAACTTCTTTGGATTGCTCAGTTCTTGTTTCATGGTTGCAACTTATACATAATTACTTTAGTCAGCTTTTGCGACAACCCATTACTTCACTTGAGTTGGTTCAAAATGACAGTCTTGAAGGCTCTCCATTCCTATCGAGTATTTCTGACGAAGAAGTGAATAATCTATCCTCCCTCCATGTAAAAAGACGAGCTATTTTCCTTTTACTAAGGTGTTCCTTTAGTCTGATCAACTTGAGAGGCAGCACAGATGAGAAATGTACTTGTGGAACTAAAATTTTATGCTTGCGCTGCAACACAAATGTGGAGTTGAAGTATTGTGGAAGACAGAAAGGCTTGATAGAGCTTTCTAACTGGCTTCAATCGCATCTTCCAACTAAAATTTTTCTGAACTCCGAAATGTACTTGCAAAAGAGGGTGGATTTTACCTTGTCCTTCCTCAAACTATACATGCATGAGGTTTGTTTCCTTGCAATGCTGAATTGGCTAAGTAGACACTTTTACTCTTAGTCATTTGTTTTTTTTTTAGTGTTATTTACTATTAATATTTTCTTAAAGCCCCCGTGTTCTTTTTTCTGAACTGCAGGATGATTTATTATTTAAAGTGCTTTTACAACTGCTCTGTGTACCCTTTCCCGCAGAGGAACAGTAAGCAGAAAATATTCCAGTTTGTTCCTTGTCGATGTAATTGGCTTTCTCAACGAACTCTTTTTGTGTTGTATAGGTTTCAGAAGGAAAAGGCGGCTTTACAGGATGCAGAACAAGATATGCTCTTTCATGTTTCAAACCTTTTTAATCCTGTGCACCTATTCCATCTCTTTCTTGCAGAGGCAAGTATACCATATTAGGGGGACATTTGGAAGTCCCCGTACCTATCTCTGGATCCTCTTCATTTGTTAATTTCTCAGTAAATGGCTTTTTGAATACTTAAAACTGTTACACATTAAGGGTGTTTTTTCCTGATATGTTTCAGTTACACTATGATCATCAAGTGCTTCTGGATTATCTTATTTCAAAGGATACGGGAACAAGTTGTGCAGAATATCTTTTGAGGTGTGTAAAAATAGGTGCTTTATTTTATATTCGCTTTTGTCATTATATTTGGTGCAGGATTTTGATGCTGTTTATGGACTTTTTACTTGAATAGAAAAATAGCAAAAAGAAAACAGAAATACTTGAACTTCTGAGGATGGCACTGCGGTTTTTTTCTTTGTTATTTACTTTGAATTTTAATCTTGTATCCATTTTCATGATTAGTGTGGTAGATATCTCTTTCTCACACTACTAAAATTTTGAGGATGACCCTCTAGTAATCTATTTCTCACAGTACATTTTCATAATTGTGTCCATATTATTTTGGAATGCTATTTGATGTCCTTTAATGCCTGTTTTTAGGTGCTTGCGTGCAGTTTGTGATTCATGGTGCTTATTTGTAGAATTCTCAATGGGTGGACAGTGGGTAAATCAATCATCTCACAAGAAAAGGAAAAAGTTATGTGACTCAACCTCTCAAGCAGAGGAACATTCTGTGCCGGTGAAAAAGGACGAAATTCTTGCATCAATTGGGGAGGAATGTAAGAAAGGGTATAAAAAGGGCGGCGAGCAATATCGACCTAGAAGAAAGCCATACATAGAAGCCAAAGAGTGTTTGCTAGCACTTAAAGTTTCTGTTGAAAGTCTTCACCAAAAGAATCTGTTTCCATACAATCCAAATGTGCTTTTGAAAAGGTAAGTTTTATTATCTAAAAAGCTATCAAGAAGACAAACCATCTTGTGAGATATTGCATTTCTAACTGACCTATTTTATCTCTTCTTGTAGACTAAGGAGATTTCAGGAGCTCTGGGTTAAAGCAGAACAAAATCACCTCTGAAAGATTAAACGAGACTAATTTAAAGTACAGGCAGCACTAAATGTTAGCAACTTAGCAGGGGTGCAACAGTTAAAAAAGAAGATCCTGCCAGAAGTGAGGAGCGATCTTTTTTGGAGATTTCATGTTTCTGGCCAGAGTAAAGCTGAGAAAGATGTGAATCACCGAGCCCATGTTACAATAAGGGCTCTTTATTACAGTGTAAAATTTCCAACATGGTTTAAGAAGTCCTCAATTATTCCCATGGTTTAAGAAGTCCCCAATTATTTCCAATACAATATGCATATTTTTTTAATAGTAGTTTTCACATTCGTCAGCAGGCTCCATTGGCATGATCATAAACTATTAAAAATAGATGGAAATATGTATTTTGAGTAATTTCAACATTATCAAAGGTTGGACCTAATGCATAACAGCAGAAGCCAGGCAAGAGATGGAGAAGAGAGGAAGTCATTTTGTGCTCGTCCATGGATCGTGTCATGGAGCTTGGTGTTGGTATAAGGTGGCCGCTCAACTGAAGTCAACGGGACATAAGGTCACAGCTCTGGACATGGCTGCTTCCGGTGTACACCCGAAGAAGGTTCATGAAGTCAGTTCAGTTTCTGACTACGCTGAGCCACTCTCGGATTTCATGGCGTCCCTCCCACCAGAGGAGAAGGTCATTCTAGTGGGTCACAGCGCGGGTGGAGTATGCACCTCTCTGGCCATGGAAATGTTTCCTCAGAAGATTTCTGTTGGGGTCTTCGTCGCAGCATTTATGCCTGGTCCTGACTTGAGCTTCTCTACCATAAATGGAGAGGTACACGTGCTCTCTGTCTTTGTCATAATATACATGTGAACTTCCATGTCGAGTTTGTTTCCTTAAAGAAGTTGCTTTGCATTTTACATCAATTATAAACTTCGTAGTTGAAAACTTGAACTGAGTTTTCCTTGAAGGGCATTTTATTATCATATAGCACCAAATTTAACAATCTAAATAATCAATGATAATAAAATTATGTCTTCATACGTACGAAAAAGATTCCACCGCATGGCAATTTGAAAATCATCAATGTCTTTGTCGATTTTTGTTTCTAGCGCTGAGACATTTTTTTATGCGAGCAAGACAAATTTATAATTAATAATACGTATTGGTCACTCTCTCTCTCTCGTCATCCCATATAATTGTACCCTCGTTACTCATCTCTCAGTTATACAAAACCTTCCATAAATTGTCGTTGTCTGATTGTTGAAATTTCCTATGCTCGCTCAATCACGTTTCTCTTTCCTCATCCAGGTTTTTCCTAGAGCGAAAAAAGAAATGCAGTAAAAAAGCATTTAGTACACCAAAAGATACTGTTGTTGTTGTTGTTGTTTTTTTTTTATTATTAAATTTTTAGCAACGAAAATTGTGTAGAAAACGACTATAAAATATGGGGCAATTGCCCAAGTTCATCTTTTAAGAATTAAAAGGGGCTTTTCTTTTTTCTTTTTTCTTTTGGGTGCTAAAAAAAATACTTATTTAGGACTAGTCCTAAGATCTTGAATAGAAATTATAATATTTAGAAACGTAACAACCAAATGCCATTGTATTCATCGATAAAATACCATGGTGAAAGTGACAAGTGAAAATTTTCTTTGGTGAATATGCAGTACGGTCGAAGCATAGACTCTTTCATGGACACACAATTTACGTCTGATCAGGGGCCTGGCCACCCTCCCACAGCCGCAATCTTTGGCCCCAAATTCTTGGAATCCAAATTGTACCAGCTTTCCCCTCTAGAGGTAAGACCTTATATTAACCTCTCTCACTGATTCTCTTTTCCTTTCTTGTCTTCCAAAAAAAAAAATGTTTGGGTGGAGAGTTTAGGGCCCGTTTAGTTCGCTGATCGAGTTTTTAATTCGAGTTGAGATGTGACTTTATGTGAGAGCTTTTTACTGTAACAAAAAAGTTATATGTGACTTTCTGAGAGATTTTTACTGTAGTAAAATTCGAATTCTAAACTCGAATCGTTGAAATGAACGGGGCCTTTTTGCTCCACAAAATCTGGGACACTTGACGGGCTCTACACGTGTGTATAGCGCATACATGTGTGCACGCTCAAACACCCTGGTGGGAGTGACTCGAACCCAACATTTAGCTAACTCGGGGCATGTTTATCTTGTGTAAATAAAAAGAGAAAGGAAGGAGTGCCTCCCTTTCCCAATTACTTGTGTTTAGTTACAAAATCAAGAATAGTAATTTAGCTGGGCCTACATGATGTAGGGAATGAATATCAAATCCTAACGCCCCTAGTATTGTTTACCGGTTAATTGTATTGTCTACTTGTATACCCTTATCAAGCCAACGATTGTTCAATTATGAACAGGAACTTCGTAATCAAATTAATAAGATTCCTATTTTTTAGTTTAGTAAACACAAAAAGAAAATTTGTGATTCCAATTTCAAATAGATGACCAAACATTTGAAAGAAAATCAATCGTCTTCGTTCTTATTCTTTTGTTTTCCAAACTCGTCAACTTTCTCATTACATTATATTACTATTACGGTTTTGTAAACATGCTCTTAATTTTGTTTTTTGTTTGTATCCTTTTTTAACCTCTTCACGTCTAACATTGGAATTGAGCCAGGATTTGGTTCTCGCGCGGTCATTGGTGCGACCGGTCAGTCTGTCAACCACTGCATTATCGTCGGAAGAAGAACTGACCAAAGAGAAATATGGATCGGTTCGCAGAGTCTACATTGTGACCAAGGAAGACAATGTGGTGAAGCCTAATTTGCAAGAGTGGATGATCGAGAACAACCCCGTCAATGAGGTAAAGGTGATAAACGGTTCTGATCACATGGTGATGTTCTCTAAGCCACTCGAGCTCCGCTCCTGCCTCCAGGAGATTGCTGAGAAATACTATTAGAAAGAACAAAAAATCATAATTAGGTGATAAATAATACAACTACCTTGGTATTAAGGTAATAATTAAGTGATAAACTGTGTCATGCACGGCAGTACTTCAAATAACTTCGGCCTTAAAAGGGAAAAAAAAATCAGATTTGTTTGGTTTGTGATAACTCTTCAAATATGCATTATGCTATTGAGTTATGTTATTGTGTTTCTTTGATCAAATTATACTATATACTATACGAGGCACTGGATTTACTGTTCTTTAAACAGTGTCCGGTCTTTTTTCTCCTTCAGCTTTGAAAAAATTCCATTTGTGTTCATGACTTTTGTTTTTACCGTTTTGCCTTTAGTTTCTTATTTCTTCATTGTTTTTTGTATGAGCGCTTTCGACTTTTCGTCTTTTCTTGGCGCTGCTTTTTCACCGAGAGAGAGAGCTCTGCGTGGGAAAGAGAGGGAGTGGGGAGTGGTGGGCCCGCCTGGGAAAAGAGAGGAGAGAGAAAGAGAGGGAGTGATAGAGAGAAAGAGAGAGAGTGGTGGAACCCACTTGAGAAAAGCGAGAGAAAGGGAAAGAGGGAAAATGGACTATCTGATCCTTCCATATTTTTCATCTGACGGTAAAAAAACCAGTTTTATTCACTAATTATTATTACTTAATAATTTTGGGCTTATTTGTAGTCTAATTTTGCTATTCTAACACAATTTCGTACTAAATTTTTGATACTGTTTAAATAAAAATGCTATAAATGATTCAATAAAAAATAAAATTTATAACAATATACTAAAATAAAATAAAAGCACACCAAATTAAGTAAAAACAAATTAAACAAAATCAAATGCAATTGATTTAAACACAACAAAATAATTTAAAATCTTTTTTTTTTGTCTTTTTGCTTCAGATCTTTTTCTCGCATTTTTATTTCTTTTACGTCGTTATTTTCTTCTTCTTCTTTTTCTTTTTTTTTTCTTAAAAAAATAATTTGACAACCGTTATTTTAAATGAATCGCACACGCAACGCACACGATAATAACTAGTTAGATACTAAACGAACGACATAAATTGTTAACGTATGGCCCTGGGGGATAAAGTTATTTAAAAAAAATTATTTTTTGTTGGGAATTTTTTTTAAATTTATTTTTTATTTCCCAAGTTTTTAATACACACCCAAAGGCCAAACAATATTTTAAACATAATTCAAGGTTCAAACCAAAAAATAAAAAGCACATCCAAGTACCAATTCATGTTTTAAACCAAAATGATTCAAACCACCATGTTTTGAACCTGTAAACCAAACGAGGGCAATATGATTTGGCCCTATTCTTTTCGTGGCTTCAAGTGGAAAATTTGAATAAAATTTAAATTTTCTTGAGAGAGAATGTTGTAATAAAATGGCTAAATGGTAATTTAAACTGTGAAAAGAACGAGGCTATAATGGGTGCATTTAGAACTCGTTCTAAAATGATTTTATTTTTTGTATGAAAATGGAAATGAAAACATTTTCAATCTCAGACATAAATTATTTTTGAAAATGCGTTTGTTATTTTTATCAAGAGATTATTTTCAGTATAAAAAATCTATTAATGTCTCTCTCTCTCTCTCTCTATTCGAGAGAGGAGAAAACAGAAACAAAAAATGAAAAACGATTAAAAGTCATTTTTCATTTCTCTACCATTTTACATTAAACCAAAAAATCGTTTTCATTCCGTTTTTTTGTCTTTAATTATGCCAAATGCCGTTTCTCTCCCGTTTTTATTTTTCTTTCTTGAAAAACGTAAAAAATAAAAACAACTCCAAATACAACCAATATTTTTCAAGACCAAGGATATAACTATCTGACATGTTGTTTGACTACAAGAAACTCCTGATGCGAACAAAAGACATGTAGACAGTAGAATCCTCTTTGAAAAATAGCATGGTTTGTTTGAATCAAGATTTGTTGTCTCATTTTCTTATTTTGGTAGTTCTATAATTAAATTTTGACACCGAATTGTTTAAGTATTTTTAGTATTTTATTTTTATTTATGTGGTTAAATTCTTAAATTTAGATGATATGATAAATAATACGTCCGAGAGATATCAACCGAGATAGAAAATGGGAACAAAGATCTGGACTCGATTGTTTTAGGATAAAAAGTAGGACATCTACGATTGAAAACGAAAAATTTTCCCGGCTCCAAGAAAAACGGCATAAAAGCACGAAATGTCGTTTTTAGAAGAGGAGTAATTTACATGTTGTTTTCAGCGACAAACACCGAGTATGAATTGCACGTCGTTTGATATTATAAAAGGCGACATCCAATAATCCAAAGGGCAATGTTGATCATATTTGAAAATTGAAATCGTTTTATTTGAAGTTGAAGCGTTATCGCCTGTAGTCCTGCACTATCGAAATAGCTTTTTTTTTTTTTTTTTTTTTTTTTTGCCTTTCCTATTCTTTCTATTTTTCTAATGTAATCTGAATAATAAACTGATTGATAATCGAGATTTATATATAAAACCTATGGTGATCAGGGTCAAAGAGAATATTTATCGATCACTTGGACATGCCACTAGAGGACTCTGACATTGAGTATCCAGTTTTCTCTATCTTATACTCTCTTCTTAATACGTTGTTTCTTTTTTCTCATAATTGTTTGCCTGACCTTTTAAGCATCAGAGTGATTTCTATAGTTAATGTCCACTAAAAAGAGGAGAGGAGTGTCGATGTTGAGACATACACTCCATTGAGCGGGGATTATCCCTCTCTCTATCTTTTTATTTTTTAATTTTTTAATTTTTAATTTCAATTTTGTCCCACTTTATAAGAAAAATTACAACTGTGTCCACATTCAATAATTGAAATAACTGTGCTTGTTATTGTGTTAAATTGAAAAACTAACATGTGTTATAATGGAAAACAGGTTTTTGGTTCTTGCTCTATCACTTCATAGATCTTTTCCTCTTTTTAATGACGAAGAATTGGTGTTGAACGAAACCAAACTCACCAAGGGTAAGTATAGATCGGTTCGTAGAGTATTCATCATACGCGATCAAGATTATGCGATCAATGAGGGTCTAAGGTGGATGATCGAGCGGAATCCACCTAATGAAGTGAAGATCATAAATGGGACGGATCACATGGTTATGTTCACTAGACCTCTAAAACTGTTCTCATACCTTGACAAGATTGCTGAGAACTATTATAAATAATTAAGTATAAGTTCCATATATGTTATTATAAGAAAAACAGACAGATTGGCTAAATTATCATTTTTTTTTTAAGACCAACTTTGGAACATTTTAAAATCAGGGATCAAAGTGCGGGATTGAGGATAAACCTCAGGGTGATTTGTGAGATTAACCCAAAATATTATATGTTGTAAAATGGCCATATAAGTTTGTGATAAAATAACTAAAACTCGTATAATATTGAGATAAGCAACAAAGAAGACACTTTATGTACCTTCGTCCAAGGAGGTTTTGACGGAGCATGCATGTGTTGGTTCAAGTAGGCAACTCTACAGAAATCCTGAGGCCACAACAGGTCACAGCTCTAGGTGGGTTCATACAATGCCGTAATGAAATTAGGGAAGACAAAATTTCTTGTCTTACACAAGAATTGGGAAAGAATTTTTATCTTGAAAAAATTCCTCTTATATAATTTCAACGTGGAAGCACTTCTTTGACTACTCGTAACTGCATGCTCTTGGCTACAAATAATTCCAAACAGCTTCCTATTTATGCAGTTTCCCGAGTCTATACATACCTCTTCTTTGTTTGTTTTGATTCTTCTAACATTCTTGTCACATTGCAATTCATGATTGATTCTCTCCAACAACTTTTGCACCTTATAATGAAAACACAATATATTATATATAGTATATGCAGAACTAACCAATATGGAAAAGGAGTCCAAGATGAGAATTATACCTTTTTATCTGCTTGTAAATTTTCTTGTATTCTCATCAAATGCCAAGTTTGAGACTTCGCAATCTAGTCCATAATTAAGCAAAGACTTTAATGGTCAAGATAATACGGCAATTCAGACCAAGAGACATTTTGTGTTGGCTCACGGAGGTAGTCACGGTTATGGCAGTAATATGGGTTACGACATGATGTGTGACAATATTGTCACCGCTCGATTTTAATAGAGTTACAACCTTGTACCAGCACCAAGCTCCATGACTACCTCCGTGAACCAACACAAAATGTCTCTTGGTCTGAAATTGCCGTATTATCTTGACCATTAAAGTCTTTGCTTAAGTATGCACTAAAATACAATAACATCCAACAAAATTAAGTAAATAATAGTATAAAATTTTAAGTATAATTATCATGATATCACAAATTCACAATAAAATCTAAATTATGTAATGATATATATATATATATATATTAGTTTTTTACGAGTTTCGTGTCGTGTTCGGGTTAGGCGGGTCCAACCCAAAATTAACTTGTGTTTTTCGTGTCAATTTCAGGTCGATCCAATTCTAACTCGAACCTCTTTTTCTCAACCCTAACCCGTGAAATTTGTGTCGTTTTCGAGTTGTATTGGCTACTTCTGGAATCGACGGCCCTGTTTGTTTTTGTTTTCGTTTTCATTTTTCACGTTTTTCGAAGCTAAAAAATGAAAACACAATCTAAAAACGCGTTTGGCGCAAAACTTTTCAAAAAACAAAAACAAAAACGTTTTTGTCTTTTTGTGAAAAACTGAAAACGAAAAAAAGACGGGCCTGTTTATTTGCGTTTTCATTTTCGTTTTTCACGGTTTTCAAAGCAAAAAAATGAAAACGGGTGTTAAAAACGTGTTTGGTGCAATTTTTTTTAAAAAACAAAACCAAAAACGTTTTTGTCTTTTTGTGGAAATCAGAAAACGAAAAAAAGGTGTTTTCATTTTCTCATTTTCGTTTTTTGTTTTTTGAAAAACAGGTTTCACTTTTTTTTTTTTTTTCATTTTCTTCTCTCTTTTCTGAAACCGTTTTTGTATTATATATGTTTATTTAATATTATTATTTAATATATTATTATTTAATATATTTAATAATATTAT